CATAAACCGAGTGTCTTTGCGTCTTTATTGCCGTTGTTTTGTTTGTGCACAGACGATGCATCTCTTTTGAGCAAATTTCTTCTGAGTTGAAGGAAGTTGTATTATGAAATGATCACCTTCCCTCCTCAAACGCTTGGGTATATCCTGAGGAATTCGAGGACCATGTTGTATAGCAGGTGTTCTTACCTGGTACTTCATTATGAGTTGTCTGACAACAGACAAACAAAATTCACCATACGGTGGTCTGTTGCCAGTCTTTATTTGGTACATATTATATGCATTGAGCATTGAAATGTCCATGAGATGGAAGAAAAGTTTCATGTACTACTTGTAACTCGTACGAACACAGTCAACAAAACCAATCTGCATGTCACACTTGTCAACCAAGCGCATGTTTTGTATATAATAAATCACTGTCACTGGTTTTCGAATACGTTCATTAGTCACTCGATCAACTTTGCCACTGTCTTGCATTTCATTACGGTGAATGGTTGTCAACAATGTGACATCTCGTTTGTCATGCCACCGTAATGCCATGATGTCATTGGCAGTAAACACCTGCACGTCATCACCACGAGCACCTGCGTTGAGCCTGGGCATATGTTTACAATTAGAACGCACTGTGCCACACACATCTGTCTTGTTCACTCGCATGAAATCACTGAGTAATGGGCTTGTGTACCAGTTATCGGTATATTAATGTATGCCCCTTACCAAGATAAGGTGCCATCATGTTTCTCATACGTCACCTGAGATACCCAATAACATCTTGGTATCTTTCAATGTTTTACTACCGTGTATACAACAATATCCAACACCAGGCCACTGTCACAATCACAGAGTACAGACAGTTTTATACCAAAGCGTTTCCTCTTGCTCGGTATATACTGCTTGAATGACAGTCTACCTTTGAACAAAATCAAGGACTCGTCAGTTACAAGATTCTTGAATGGATAAAAGTATATGCTGAACTTTTGTTTGAGATACATGAAAACATTTCTAATCTTGTATAACCTGTCACTTCTGTCAGGCCTGGTTTTGTCAGAGAAGTGCAGCATACGTAAGAGTAAGATAAACCTGTTCACTGGTATGATTTCACTGAAGACCGGGGATGAAATTAGCCGATCTGTGGACCAGTATGCTTTTATATTATGCTTATAGACGTGAGGCATAAGCATTATTGCTGCAAAAAGCAAATACATTTCTGCAACAGTCGTCTCTTTCCACCTGTGTAGTCTTGACTGTGGTGATAAGATCGTATTTGCCATGGTGTACTCAAGATACTTATTACTTTCCCTGACAATAATTTCCATCAATGGCTGGTCAAAGAATAATTCAAAGAATTCCAGTTCATTGGCCGTGGTTCCAAGGGGAGTCATCAAAGTGGTGAGGCTTGGGAACAAAATTGGGATTTTGCTGCCAATCCCACATACAGTTTGCTGGTGGATACTGGACATCATAGGCTGGTTGTGCGGGTGGTTGTGGTTGTGGTGGGCTGGTGGCTGGCGCTCCGCTTTGTCCTTGAACTGACGAGTCAGCAGCGTGGGTCCCAGCGTGGCCTGGTGAGTCACACATGGCGGTGCCACTACCATCACCACTAACACCATCCACTGATGCCTGTGGTCTATCCATGCCAAGTGTAGCCACATCATCCTCACTATCACTACCTAAAACTGGTGTTGGGCCATGGGATGTACTCCGTCCCCTGGGCACAGCATAGGGTACACTACCCGAGCGCATGCGGTGGCGAACATACCGACGCTTCACTGGTGAATATGATTCCTCACTATCACTACTCAAATGATCGTCGAGCGCAATAAAATCACAGTCCACGTCACTATCATCATCATTACTGAAGTCAGAGGCCTGGCCATGCGAAAATATTAGTTTTCTCTTGCGATGAGGAACAACCGACCGTGAGTCACGAGTGCCCACACCAGAGGTAGAAGGTTGAGGATCGTCAGGGTTTTCTGCACTATTATCGATATCCTGGTCATTCTTTTCGGTCACTAACTGATCAAAGCCGTAGAATTCTTCATTTCCACTTCCATCAGTGTCAGAACTATCTGATAGGAAGAGGAGAGTCCCAATTTTCTGGGGAGTGAGAGCTGACTTGCAACGAGGCATGGTGAACAAGGGTAACTGAGCCGGCGTTCCCACAATGCTATGCGGGCGCCTAGATTTTTTGTTTATGGCACACACCCACCATGCAGACCCGTTCTCTCACATGTAGGCCTATGAGCGTTTTCGCGCTAAATTTGATGGCGCTAGAATTTTGGCGTAGATCTATGGTTTGGACACTCAACGTGAAGCCGTAGATCTACGGGACGGACCCTGAAAGGGTTAATGGAAGGGGATTCCCCTTCTAAACACTAAGACTCTCTCCTCCTCCCATCCCACCAATCATCACCAGATCTTCAATAAAGGTAAGTGTCATGTAACTGTGCATGTCTTTTTCAGTTTGTGTGTATTAAAATTAATATTTCATTTGGTAAAAAATTTTTTTTTCATTGGGGTGTCTTGCACGGATTAATTTGATTTCCATTGTTTCTTATGGGGAAAATTCATTCGCATAACGATAATTTCGCATAACAATGAGCTCTCAGGAACGGGTTAATATCGTTATGCGGGGGTCCACTGTACAGTGGACCCCCGCATAACGATCACCTCCCAATGAGACCAATTATGTAAGTGTACAGTGGACCCCCGCTTAACGATCACCTCCAAATGCGACCAATTATGTAAGTGTATTTATGTAAGTGCGTTTGTACGTGTATGTTTGGGGGTCTGAAATGGACTAATCTACTTCACAATATTCCTTATGGGAAAAAATTCGGTCAGTACTGGCACCTGAACATACTACTGGAATGAAAAAAGTTCGTTAACCGGGGGTCCACTGTATTTATGAAAGTGCATTTGTACGTGTATGTTTGGGGGTCTGAAATGGACTAATCTACTTCACAATATTCCTTATGGGAACAAATTTGGTCAGTACTGGCACCTGAACATACTTTTGGAATGAAAAAATATTGTTAACCGGGGGTCCACTGTATATTGTTTGATATGGTGACATTTTGTATCAGATCATCATTGCTAGTGAAGATGAGGTCCAATGTATTCTCCAGTCTAGTAGGCTCTATTATTTGCTGGTTTAAGGTGAATTTTGTGCAGAGATTTAAAAGCTCGGTGTGTGTGTGTGTGTGTGTGTGTGTGTGTGTGTGTGTGTGTGTGTGTGTGTGTGTGTGTGTGGTGTGTGTGTGTGTGTGTGTATGTGAGTTCTCATCTGAGCTACCTCCTGGTGTTATCACTGCAACATTATTTGCTATATTCCTCCATTTTAGGTGCCTTAAGTTGAAATCCCTCAGGAGCAAGATGTTGGGGCAGGAGCTGGAAGATTTTCCAGACAATGGTCAATTTTCAACAGCTGTTCCTGGAATTGTTGGGATGTTGCATCCGGAGGCTTGTAAACTACCACAATGACTAGATTTTGGTTCTCAATCTTTACTGCTAAAACTTCAACTACATCATTTGAGGCATTTAGCAATTCTGTGCAAATAAGTGACTGCAGTATACAGGCCAAATCCCCCCTTCCTTTTGCCTGTTCACTCTGTCACATCTGTATAGGTTGTAACCTGGGATCCATATTTCGTTATCCAAGTGATCCTTTATGTGGGTCTCTGTGAAAGCCATCAACATTGCATTTGCCTCTGCAAGCAGTCCACAGATGAAAGGTATTTTGTTGTTTGTTGCTGGCTTTAGACCCTGTATATTTGCAAAAAAGAATGTCATGGATTGGTGGTATTGGTGGTACTGGGGGGGGGGGACTTTTTTTTCCGGCACTAATATCTGTATCTGTTGGTTTTTAGTGGAGGCCATCGACTGTGATTCCACTCCTGAAATGACTGGTTTTGGTGTACGATTTCTGCCATTTCCTGCCAGGTTTTTTTTTTTTTTTCTTCCTGGCACTAAAAAACCTCTCCCTTCTGAGTGGCTGTGGCTACCCAGGTTTTCCCATGGTCTGGGTGTTTTGTATCTTTTTGTCCCCTTTAGATGGTGTGCCTGGCAATTTAAGGGGGACACATTTCAGGGTGAAAAAGGTTACAGGATGGGAGTTTGCATTTTCCTGTTGTCATATGAGCATGGCATTTTCTAGGGTGGTCAAAGTTGCACGTCCCATCTGTTTTTCCAGATATCCCATGCCTGCAGATACCAAGTGCATATTATTTGCACAGGCTTGGTTTCTGTTTGCCTTGGATTTTTGTGACTGTATTCCCTGTTTGTGCATGTCTTCCTGTCTCATTTCTATCCTCACTAGTACTAACAATGGAGCTCTCACAAGTTGTTTCTGGTAATTTATTCTTCACTATTACTAGTGGAGTCTCCTTGTTTGCTATCTCCTGTGGTATTACTAGTTTGTATATTGGTTTTATCTTGTCCTTGACTACACTTGTTTCCCCACTACAGCTCCTGTCCCCTCGAGGCCACTGATATGCATTTCTCCATGCATTGCAATTACTGTCTACCAGGACAGCACCTCCAGCCTCACAGTAACTGTCTACCAGGACAGCACCTCCAGCTCTCAGTTACTGTCTACGAGGACAGCACCTCCAGCCTTACAGTTCCTGATTACCTGGCCAGCACCTGCAGTCATACTGTTACTGTCGGCAGGACAGCATCCGTACTAAGGGCAATAGCACCATCCAGCCCAGACTTTGTATTTTCCCATCTGTTATAGAATGCTTGCAGGTTTTCTATGAAGGCTGCTTTGATGTTATCCTCTTTTAATACCAATGTGATTTTAGTCCACATATTGATCTCATTTGGGCATACCCAAAAACACTTCCCTGATTTAATACCTCTTGTAGATAATTCTTGGATATCTGCACATGGGGCATGAGCCCAATTTTCACAAAGGTTGCATGAGTCCATGTGGAACTTGCTTGTTTGTTTGGCCGCAAGACTACACAGGATTTCACAATGTGATTTTAATGGTTGATTTACTGTATTCTACTAATAACCTCTTGAATATCTGGTTATTTGTATTTCTATTTGTATTTGTACTTGTATATTTGGACAAGCTTACCGCTCTAGTAGTTACTGCTTTAGTAGTTACTGTTTGTGTGTTTGATAAGGGCGCCTAAAACCCCGTCTGTTTATAGTCCAGTTTATAATCCTTATTGACTTCATCATTGCTTAGTTAATCTTAAGTTAATTTTAAGCCAGCCCGTAATGCTATGCATAGTATAAGTGGCTTTGGCATGCTGCTCTTATCTGTATTTTTTTTTTTTGTACCTCTGTATGTGTGCTCAAATTTAAAATAAATAAATAAATAAATAAATATAGGGCCACTGACGACATATGCAGCCCTGCATATCTTCCACCACCCTAAACCTCTGCTAGCATCTCAATAACCACTTTATTTCTTTATATTCTCCACAGTAACCACTTTATTTCTTTACATTATCTATTGTGTTTTTATACAGTATTTCTTATTTATAAATTACATACATTGTTTCAGTGTGACTAGTGGTGGTGATCACTGCTGCTGCCACCACCACCACCACTATACGGCTTATTCTGTCAGTAGCCCTTATAAACCCAACAACAACAATAATAATCACACCACCACTTGCCACATATGTAATGACATATTTTATTCATTCTAGAGTATATATCATGTTCCTATGTTATTAATGTTGTTTATTATGTCATATCAGATGAATTGTGATAAATAAATAAGCCATAGAGTTCATATTAGCACCAACAAGAGTCTTCAATAAAGGTAAAAGTGTTAAATGTTTATTTATCCATTTCATTAGTCATTTTATTTAGTTCTCATTGTTTGTGTATGTAAAACTATAGTTAATCTTTAAAAAATGTATTTTTTTTGTTAATATTTTTGGGTATCTGAAACGGATTAATAGTATTTGCATTAATTCTTATGGGAAATATTATTTTGGTTTTCGGCTTTTTCGGATTTAGGCTTACCTTCTGGAACGGATTATGGTCGATAACCGAGGGTCCACTGTACTTTGGAGGTCTTATCAATATTGAATGAGTTTGTTGGTTGTCATACAAGTAGACATCATTACAAGCTCCTTGTTAACAGTATTGTTGAAGACACCCAAATCTGGATTTAAGGTAGAAGTTGTCATCTGGCATCTCTTCTTTTTAGGTTATAGCAGTGGTTTGTTCTCTATCAATCATTTAGGACATCTACTATTCCTTTGGCATTTCTGTTCTTTTTCAGAGAGAAACCATACCACTGCTATTTGTCAGCATTGTAATCCTTATAGAGAATAAACTTGATTTGATTTGACTTGTGGTTGAATACATTTGAACATCTTTTTCATCATTTCCTCATCCATATACAGTATCTAGAGTAGGGATAGTGCAATACCCAGTTTTTTGCTGATATTAATTTTCACTTTTAGGCTGATACCAGTACCATCAAAATTTGATAATACCCACTGATATTAGTGCCAATACATCAAAATTGGCCGATGCCCACCAATGCCAATAGTACTTTATCACATCCCTAATATAGAGTCTATTTTAAATTGTGCCATTGATTTATAAGAGTTTTTCAACTTTTTATTTTTGTGATCCTTGTGACTTTTATTTATCAAAGATTACTCCTAGGCCCATATCCTTGTTTCATGTCTTTAATATATTGCATTACAAAATACTATACTGAATGTAGAATCATTGTTCACTAGTAATATATTTATGCAAGTAAAAAGCTTTAGGTATCATTAAATTGAACTTGAGATAGTGTATACAGGCACTGAGATTGCAGTAATGATACACAAGCAGCAATTGGGAATTTTACTTGGACAATGTTTTGCCTTTGCAGCAGGCTTTATCAAGTCTAATTAATTGCTGTGTTTGTCTTTATAATTACAACTTGCCAGTATTACTATACTATATACTATTACAGGCTCTCAAATGTTGCTTCTGCTTTACAGTTGTGAGAATGTTGCTGATCCAGAGTATAACAAGCCAAGAGCTGCACCATCGACTTGCTTTTTCAATTTATTGCACTAATTCTCAGCTTGTTTATCTTCAGTACTAAGAGTAAATTGAGGATAGATTTCATTTTCCTCCTAAATATAAAAGCACTGTTGAGGATAATTGTAAGTACTACAGTCAATTCATTTCCAGCTGACTTTTGTAAAAGCAAATTTTGTAGAGATCTAAATGTTATTAAAAAACTGCATATAGCATAGTAAGAAATTGACAAGTTCAAGAAATTGAAATCAGGATAATTTGAGGTGAAACTTCATATATTCTGGAAGTTCAGGACAGTACTCTGAGTTATTAGAAACCATGTCACTAAGAAGGAATAGTAGTGGAGGAACACCAGGTGCATCACGGGTCAGACAGGCTTTTAAGAGTCCTTTCAGAGTGGCTGGGTCCACAGACCCAAATGCAAATAACACTTCACCTAATAAGAAAGATTCTGAGGAAATCAGCAGTGTAAATAAAGAGACAAATATTTTTACTATAGGTTGCAGTGATAGAGTGGTGGCAGATAGAATGAACCAAACACCACCTCAGTTACAGTCAAAGCTAATCATTGCAAATAGCTTAACTCCCAAGAGAATTACAATAGGCAGGTCACCATCTCTTTTAAGTTCTTGCCGCAGAAGAGTAGTTCCACAGCATTTTAGTGTTCCTTTCCGGACTCCAAGCAAGAACACACTTTCTCAGAATTTGTTACCTCCAGAAAATCAGTTGGCCCAGCTTTGTGAAAAAGAAAGTGAGTTGGATGAAGAAATAGCTTCTTTGAAAAATTGCGGTTATAAGATTGAAGAACTTCAGTGTCATATAGAAAATCTTCATCAATATAATGAGATAAAAGATGCAGCACAGCTTGTTATGGGCAGACTGGCAGAACTGGAAGGGGTAACAACAAAAGAAATACATGAAAGGTATGGTGTTCCTACTATGGAATAGGAAGGACTGGTTTATAGTCTTCATTAATTATTATTGGAATTGCAATTTGAAGTGCAGGTAATCTGTATTTTTTAGTATTGCACATGCCACAGTAAACGGATTAAAGACTAAATACAGTAGATCACGAATGTTTTTTTTTTCCACTTATTGGGGGGGGGGGTTGATAGGTTTAAAGAGGGTGGAAGGAAGAATTAGTATGTTAATACTAACATCACAGTATCTGTGCTTGAATATACATAGTCCCTTGCTAATGCTAATCATCTGTTCTAGCAAATGAGACAGTTGTACGTATCATACAGATGATTATATTAATTTATTCAAATTGTGTAAACTTGATACAATCATTATTGTGGTTGAGGTATTACAATATAGTGTTGTTAAGCATTTACAATTAATCTCATATTATATTTATTGTTATCTCATTAATTACTCCTATCTCTGTCTTTCTTTAGGCCAATCACTAAAGTTTAATTAATGGACTGTATCTTTAACCTTTAATGCATCATTATTATGCTACTTTCTACTTTCATTCCATTGTATCATGATTTATTATTCCCCTTGCCCAATTATTTATTTTGACTTTCACATTAAATATATTACCAACCAGTTCAATACACTTACAAAATAAATAAAAAAATATATTCCATCTTACCTATCAATACAGTGCATTGTACTAAACTCTCACTCTATGTATTTTTTTTTTAATATAATTTTAGTTCTGGTATCTGCTGAAATGTGTGTGCATATAATGTGCATTTCACAAAAATTGTATCTTTCATTTGTCTGCTTTTTTAGATTAAAATATCATTATTATTTATTATTTATTATTATTGTTTATTTTATTTTTATTATTTTTTCATTATATTAAATTTTTTTGTCATTTATTATTTTATATTATTACTTCATATGTTATTATTACATCATCTCATGTGCGAGCCAGAGTATGTATGAAATCTAGCTAAATATTTTAGTTATTGTATCAAATACTTGTAGATATCAATATTACTTTACCACTTATTCTTATTATATTGTGCCAGTTAACTTGGTACACTTCGATCACTGTAAACACAGCTTGATATACATTTCTACCAGACTATATTATCATAGTAACTTAGAAATCCATTTAAATAAGAGATAAAAGATCTGTATATTATGCTTGTTAATGCTTGTAAACAAGACTGCCACCTTACCTTCTTTTCACCATCTATTAATTGTAAGAGAGGCAGAACCAGTGAGATTGCTTCAGTGACTAGAGGGTCCAAGACAAAATAGTCCCTGTAAATAAGTCTTGACTGTATTGTACATTTCCAGTAGAGACACTTCAAACAGATTTATACAATAATTGTACAGTATTTGTCCTTTGAATTTTTTGTCTTCTAATACAACAGTTAAAAGAATACAGTACAGATAAAGTATTTTTAAAAATTTATGGTGAGCTTTTGAGAAATTTTAGGGATCTCTTGTCCCTCTTCTCTTGACCCTGTGTATTGTCAATAAACAATAACATTACCCTGGTTCAAATTGTTTTATAGAATGCACATGTAAATGGCAGGTAATGTTGAAAGTTTTTGGGATGAATTCAGTTGTCTGTCTCCTAGTTTATATATTTTCTGTACTGTTCTTGGTGTTTTGGGGGATCTAGTTGTGAAAGGTATGTACAGTGGTACACTAAATGTTTGTAACATGTGCAGTATAGAGAAATAACCAAATTAAATTAATTTTAAAATGTATTAATTCATCTTGTTTTTGAATGAACTATTTTCATTACTGTAGTTTTATTTACCTGATGACAGGTTCTTTATGCTCAGTGGAAGAATTATGGTCTTCGCTGTCATGGCCTCAGGATGGCCATGGCATATAGAAGCCATACTGAGTACTGCCCTGTGTGTGTGCTGTACACAGTGACTCGTAAATTCCTTATTTCCTCTTCCCTGGAGGTTGAGTAGGTCAGTGGAGCTATCTGCAGATGGCAATATACTTTGGTAAGAGGATAGAGGTTAGATGGGAGGTTCTATATGGGGCATACATGAATCAGCCTACTGTTCTAGCTTTGCTCTTCCCCCTCTGGTGGGTGATATAGTACAGTATTTGGCTAACAAGCATCAGTGAATGGGCATCACTTTGGTCCAATGGGTGTCATTTAGCTCACTGTTGGTGTGTGTATACCTTGTTGAGCTCAGTGGTGATTGGCAAAATGGAGAGCTGAATATAATTACTAACACAGATAATAATAACCGTGCACACTGTTGATGACCTGAGGGCCCATGGACTCGCCTTGGAACCTAGTACAGTGGTACCTAGAGTTGCAAACTTAATTCGTTCCAGAAGGCTGTTCAAGTGCTGATACCAAACAAATTTGTTCCCATGAGGAATAATGTAAATTAGATTAGTTCGTTTCAGACCCCCAAAAATACACTTACAAAAGCACGTACAAAAATACACTTATGTAATTGTTCAAGTTAGGAGCTGTTCGAAACTCAAGGTACCACTGTACTGCTTTTGGATAATGCTTTGTTGCCTGACTTCAGGATGACTGGCATCTGCCCTGTTCCCTTGATACCTCAGACCTTCACTTTGCTTTGAAATTGATCCTGACTTTTTTCATGATGTACCATCAATTTTCAGTTTCAAGCATCACAAGACAGAATGGCTTGAAACCATACTAGAAGATCCTGACACTTAAGAAACACACTACAGTTGACGACACCTACAGATCACCTCATCAACCATGGAATTAGCAAAGCGTTCATAAGACGTAATGGCCAAAACATATCATTCCATTCCCTCAAGAGTGGGATATGTATTATCACAGTACAAGATGAATAGACTAACAACCTTTTTTTTTTTTCTTCTTTTTTTTTTTCTTTTTTACCTGTTCTATTAACATTCCTGTCAAAATACACAGTCATTCCTTCCTCAGTTTGAGCTGTAATATTGTCCTCACCCCAAACTCACTATAAACCAGCAGTTGATTTTCACTTCGTTCAGTTTCAAATTATGCACATCTTTCAAAGTTTATTCTCTATAAGGATTACAATGCTGAGTTTACAGAATTTGGTTATTGTGTGGTTTACATGTAGTAAAATACTAATTACAGAGGGGGGCACTAGAACACCTAGCATGGCTAGGCATTTCGGGTAAACTTAGATTAATTCTTAACTTTAAAATATTACAAATTATGAGGTAAGTTGGTATTATGGCTAAGTGACTAAATACTAGTTTGTGAGTTTAGCAATGTGAATGCATTTGTTTTGGCACAATACATAGTTTCAGTATTGGAGTATCACAGGCCAACTTATGACTAGTTAGGATTCATTATTTCAAGATTGAGATTGATATTTCTGTTTATGATCAAATGGGTGAGTGAGTGTAAGTGTGAACCACCAGGTGGTATTCGTGTAATTAGTTGACAGGGTGTACCAGGGAGATAAGATGTTTTCTAATGGTAGTTTTGAAGGTGATGAATGTGTTTGCAGTTCTAGAGTTTTCAGGTAGGGTGTTCCAGATTTTAGGGCCTTTGACATACATTGAATTTTTGTAAAGGTTTAGTCGGACACGGGGAATGTCATAGAGATGTTTGTTTCTGGTGTTATGCCTGTGGGTTCTGTCACAACTATCAAGAAAGCATTTTAGGTCAAGGTTAATATTGGAATTTAAGGTCCTGTAGATGTAGATTGCACAGTAGTAAGTGTGGATGTACTGAACAGGGAGTAAGTTTAGATCTATGAAGAGTGGGGGGGGTGTTGCTAGGGATGGAATTTAGTGATTATTCTTACTGCAGCTTTTTGTTGGGCTATTATTGGCTTTAGGTGTGTTGCTGCAGTTGATTCCCAAGCACAAATAGCATAGGTGAGGTATGGATAAATAAGTGAGTGGTATAGTGTGAGAAGGGCATTTTGTGGTACGTAGTATTGTATCTTGGAGAGGATCTCAACCGTTTTGGATACTTTTTTGGTTATGTGTTGGATATGGGTGCTGAAATTCAGGTTGTTGTTGAGGTATAGGCTGGAATTCATCTACTGTACCATATACATAAAGTCAGGGACATTTAAACAAGGTAAGTATTACTCTTTCTTATAAGTCAAATTTCAGTGCGCTTTATCCCACCAAGGCAGGGTGACCTGAAAAGAAAAAAAACAAATTTTTCTTTTTACAGTTAGTACAGTAATTCATACATGAAAAGGGGTTACTAGCCTCTTGCTCCGGCATTTTATTTGCCTCTTACAGTACGCATGGCTTACAGAGGAAGAATTCTTTTTTCCCATAAAGAACATAATTTTTATAATATAAATTTAGTTTCTGATAAAAAAAGTAGAATATATATACAGTGGACCCCCGCTTTATGATCACCTCCCAATGCGACCAGTTATGTAAGTGTATTTATGTAAGTGCGTTTGTACGTGTATGTTTGGGGGTCTGAAATGGACTAATCTAATTCACAATATTCCTTATGGGAACAAATTCTTTCAGTACTGGCACCTGAACATACTTCTGGAATGAAATAATATCGTAAACCGGGGGTCCAGTGTACAGTGGAACCTCAAATTTCGAAAGTATCACTTATCGAACTCTTCGAAAATCGACCACTTTTTTCGAATCAACTTTGTCCTCATTATCGAACTCGCCCCTTTTTTCAAACCGCCAGGTATCGGACCTGTCTGCCAGCCCGCTCTGTCCGTGTCCCCATGCAGGCGCAGTGAGCCAGTCTGGTTTTGTTGATGCTTGAGTGAACACTAACCTGCGGTCTCATTCAAACATTTTACAATTAATTCATTGTGTTTAGTGCTTGTGGGACTGTGAAATAAGCTACCTTGGGCCCAAAGAAACTTGCTAGTGGTACCCCTGTGGTAAAAAAAGTGAAAAACACCATAGATGTAAAGAAGGAAATAATACAGATGTATGAGAGTGGTGTGAAACTTGTTGAGGTTGCCAGGTTGTATGGGAAAAATAAGTCGACCATTGCTTCTATCCTGGCAAAGAAAGAAATCAAGGAAGCTGATGTTGCAAAAGGTGTTAATATGCTAACCAAAAAAAGACCACAGACAGTCGATCAAGTTGAGAAGTTGTTGCTGGTGTGGATCAAGGATAAAGAGATAGCAGGTGATAGTGTTTCAGAGAT